GTGGTGGCGGTGGAATGTCCGGCGGCCCGGATCGTGGATACGGCGGTAACTCGCGTGTGGGCGGCGGTGGTGGAGGAGGCGGCTACGACGGTGGCCGTGGCGGTGGCGGATATGGAGGTAGCGGAAACCGAGGCGGCCCGCCACCCTACGGCGGCGGAAATTACAACGGTAAGAAGGAATCTTGATGATTCACTTAAGCTATGAAAGAAACATCTATTTTTCAATCAGAAGATCCGAATATCCTTGATCACAAGAAAGATATTAAAATTCTATGACAAAGATGATTAGGATATTAATGAAAAAAGATCCGAGCATTAAATTCCATTAAATCGTCGCACATTGCTAAAATGTTCGGGGATTTGTGTATATTTGTGTATATTTGTGTATATTTGTGAAATACGAGCTGTTAATGTTTCTTTTGTCATAGGTGATGGATGGGGGATGCAAGGAGGCGCGCCCAATGGTTTGGGTGGCGGTGGTAACACGGGAATGGGTGGCCCTATGGGTGGAAACAACCAAGGCAACCAGGGCAACATGAGTGGAAACAAGACCAGTACACAAGTCACCATTCCTAAAGACGTAAGTCGACTATAGGCTTACTTTTTGTGTTTGTTTTATTTTCTAGGAAAACATAAATATTCGTTGCATCAATTTATTTTGGTAATCGTAGCAAAAAATTGTATATTTGCTCTTTATATTGAAGATCCAAGTTAAAATCCAATTAGGAACGTTGAATTTTATTCGATCGTTGCTTCTCGGAAGCTACGTTCTCGGAAAGCAATAATGAATTCGAGATCATCTTTTTCACCATATCAAATTGTAGGTCTCGCGTATATCTGTGTAAACTATTAAAAAAAATGCACACAAATATATTGAAGAGTCATTGTGCTTCTATTAAGTGGCTAAAGATTAAGAATAATTTGTAGATAAATGTAGATAATGTCATGTTTAATAATGATTATTTTGTTTGATTGAAGTATCTTTGATTTTACTCTATATGTTTTGAAAATATATCTGATTATTGTGAAAATATATCTGATTATATATAAAATCTTATCTTTGTCTGCAGTTGGCCGGAGCCATAATTGGTAAAGGTGGTGCGAGGATCAGAAAAATTAGATCCGACAGTGGTGCCGGAATAACTATAGACGAGCCACTGCCTGGTAGTAACGACCGCATCATTACCATCACTGGGATTCCCAGTCAGATACAAATGGCCCAGTACCTGCTGCAGCAGAGGTAATTGTTATATTGACATATATTATATATTTACATTAAATGTAAAAATCTGCTTCTTATTTCATGTTAACATTGTAAATATTGCCTTTATATTATATTAATAAAATTTAAAATCGAACATGTTTATTGTTAAATGCGCTATTTAACAAAGATGGAAGAATACACACACACACACACACACACACACACACACACACACACACACACACACACACACACACACACACACACACATATTCTAGAATATCTTGATGTTTAAGCATGTACAATTTTTGTAATTACATGATAAAAATTGCGATATAATGCTTGTATGACATTGTAAGATATATATTGTTATCATTTCATGCACCGCCACTTTGTTATGATTTTGCGAAGCTTCGTAAACATCTTGATGATATAAAAAAATAATTGTTAAAGTAAAATCGAAGAAAGGAAAGAATTATACTCTATATAAGTAATATGTGCTATCTTGAAAATTAAAATGCATAAGTAACTTCATAAATACGCTTGTGTAAGATAAAGTCGATGGTGTGTTAACATTTTGTGAATGATATTTAGATTCTTCGATTTTATACGCTGCTATGTTTAATATGTATTGGAATATATTTCTTCGTTGTCACGCGCGATAATAATTTCTCGTACTTCATCCGCTTTATAACCGATCGCCGCCATCACATCGAGTCAGTTCATCATCTTTAGGAACTAACACAATCCGACTAACCAAACGATCGAGGTGACTATAACATTCGCAAAGGTGAAGGCGTAGGAATGGAGAGAGAGAGAGAGAGAGAGACGGATGGAAGGAGAACGACGCGCTGGAGGAATCTCTAGCCCAGCGTGAGGGAAAATGGAGCACCGTTGTATGGAAGACTAGTGATTTTGTTGTTCTACTTTCGATGTAACAAGGAATCACTAATCATCCTACAAAGGTGTTCAAGAACTTCGCCTCTGCCTGAGACCTGCTTTCGGAACTAACACCATTCCCGCTGCGCCCCGTTTGCTCATCGACGCGCCGTAATTTCGCACAAATAAACAGTAACATTTTCTTCAATAATGTATCTATAATCATCAAATAATTGCAGCTAAATAAAAGCTGTAATATTTATTCATATTCAAGTTATCTTGGATCTCTAATAACTCATGTAATTCGAACTCCATTCGTAATGCATACTAATACAATTAAGGCTTCGTGCGCTTGTTATTGCGATTTATTCCGAGTACGTTTATTGCGTCGTTCAGATATCATATATAAATTAAGGCTTTTTATATCGACGATTTAAATCTTATTTACGCAACATAAGATGCTTGCATTTTTGTCATTCTGCGCTTTGTACCTCGTAAATCATTTTTAGAAAAGTTTATAATGAAAAGAGAAAAATTTTAAAACTTAATATAAGAAATTTGTCATTATCTCGTCTCTTTTAATTATATCATTTATTTTCTTCAATTTTAATCGTTATGTGGTCTTTGACTAAAAATTCCGTTAATTTTTTCTGTTCCAGCGTGCACGAGAATGCAGATCATTACTAAGACGTGGTGAGGGATGCATTCGGGGAAGAGGGGAGCCAAAGATGCGCTTTTGTAACTTTTTTTTAGAAATATTTCTTGGGCAAACAGATACAAACGCTGAAAGTGGAACCTGAAACAAGTACATTTGACATGCATCTGCAGAAACGCGTGCAAGAAACTGGGATACTTCCGGCAGAATGCTGCGCACAGGAGGATAATCTGTAGAATTTACCACACAATACAAACACACACACACACACACACACACACACACACACACACACACACACACAGATGACACATGCCACACGCGAATCACCCTCTCCCAGGAAGATAAACGCTTGTGGTCGATGCTAACGTGACCTTAACATGGCAATCCTTTTCAAGGATGGTAGTCGCCCAATGCAGCCTGCAAAGTAAATCGATTCACGAATCGAGTACGTTAACGTTTTCGATGTCGGCCTTTCTTTAGTATAGAATTCTCTTATTTGTATCGTGTCGGCGAAGCCACACGTACTGTCGATGTGACAGCGGGGGGTTTCAAACTGGCGAGCAACCGCACCATGTTCCCCGATGTTAGCATTCCCGAAAAAACGTATTTATCCTTTAAAGGAAATCCAAAGAATGATCCTTTTTTTTTCTACCGTAAATCGTGCGCTATTTTGCTGGGAATCATCGTGTATCTTCTTTTTCTCTTTTTTCGTTATTATTATCATTAAATTTTGTCTCTTTCGCCCGACAGAAAAGAACGTATTTTAATTTCAAATTATATAGATTGTGCCAACGAACAATCGAGACGCTGGCGCGAGACAGCCAATTTGAAACCGTTAGTCGCGACTCTCCTGAACATCGAGATCTGACAACGCACACTTTTCTCGTTACGTTTCTTTCCAGCTTTTTTGATAAATTCTTTACAAATTCTAATCCTATGGAAGTAAGAATAAATGCGCATAGAGTGAATGCGAGGGCAACAGTGTCGAAGGAACGGAGAGGTCGAGCGAGAGAGAGAGAAAAAAATAGATTTTACTAGGCAAACGTATTCGCAGGAAAAGAACTGACAAGTGTATTCGCAAAAAGAAACTGTACATAAGATCCACTAACGTTCCTTTCCCTTCCTTAATTGCTGCATACACCGACAGGTATGCGTTTCTGCTGTTGCATTATTATTGTAGTTAATATTAATTATTACTTTATGATTATTGATAAGAATATTTTTGCGTTCATATTATATCTCTAAATCTATATTAATCATACCTTTATCCCCTTCAGCGAACGCGTAAACGTTCTTAGTGTTACAATGGGTAGAAATATTTAGGCTTAATGAAGAGACATAAGATTAAGGGGGGCACCATCGGCAAAGAGCGAACGGTTACCGAATGATTTGATTTAGAAAATGATATGGACAAACTGACTCTACTGCAAAGTCCGTCATGATAGTAATATTGTATTTTGGCCCTACAAGTTTTTTGACGAGCGTAAGTGGAGCATATTTTTCAGTTCTTTTTTTCCATTTGCCAGTTTGTTTTTCTTTTTGTATTATATTGTACAGAAGAGAAATTTGCGAGAGACTTGCGAGACACGAATTCAAATGAATCAGGATTGGTCCGAAATGCTATAACGCTATTGCCACTGCTATATGTATATTTCAGTAGATAGTTCGTTACAATTATCCTCGATGTGCAAAATTTTTACGCTAAAATCCTGACGAAGATGCGATCGCGAATATCTCGAAGATAATAGCCGGATTCGGCATACATGATCTCTGTAAATAAATATCTCTATTATATAGCACTACTTTGAAACGTGACTACTTGAACGGGAGTACCTTTTGGCAAATAGCGGCCGTGTTGGTAATTTTCCAAGTGCAATTAAAAACGATTGTACTAAAAAAAGCATTATTTAGCCATCACAGCCATTTGTGCGATCGTAATTACGAAAGCTTCGCCCTGGATAATTGATTTTAATACTCGAATGAGTGTGTCCCAACATGATTAAGTGATGTCACCCTTGAACCCGCACTCATTAGAGGAAATTGAATCGTTATGTATGCCGGGCTATATTAAGCTAGTACAACCTTTTTGACGGATAAGACGATAAAAAGGATCAAATATGATCAGCATAATGACATTCTAATCGCCGTTTCCAATTTTCTCGCGTACCGATGGTCAGCCCCGAATTAACTCGTAATATCCTTTCCTCTCTCTCTCTCTCCTCCAGCCCCTGAAAGTACATTTTAATCTGGTCAGTAAACGTCACCCTTATCAGGGTGCCTACAAAGGGCATTTTTAAGCATCTTGACCGTGGACAATGTCCATTAATGCAGAGTTGTATCGACCAGTAGGCAGTAGGTGACGCATTCACAGTCTGTTACACTTTCGGGATCATCGCGCGTGGATTTGCATAGGTATACAAAAGGCTTGAGCAATGACACGCTCGACTGAAATGTCAAGTGAAATCACGATCCATATGTGAATTCGCATATGCGATGGACTTTACAGATTTAGAGATCTCCCATTATTTTCACAATAAAATTCCGGTCGACTGTTCACAGAGGGACGAACGCGATTGCTCGTGACGAGATTTCCTAATTCTGTTGTTTTTTCCCCCTTTGTTAGTTACTTTTCGGTATCATTGTGTTTCTACATCATTGTTCAAATTTGAGTGCGAGAGAAAATTAGCATCGAGAGAAAATATTCTTTGCGTGTTGTTACATTAGATATGTGTTTTGTACATTTATTTTTTCGATTATTCCTTGGAGTTAGAGATTAGGTAATATTATCAAGTAACAATATTATTTCAATGTCAAGGAAAATATATCATAATTGTCGATCTGTGAATAGTGTCACGGAATTATCACGGCCCAAGGTCTTCAGAAGCAGAGGGAATCGTGGTTTCCCTTGTTTAAAACAGGAGTGCGAATGAGACCGCAAATAAAACAAACTACGTGAAATGAATCAAAACTATAACCGCGCGTAGCTTCGTCCGCGTGTTATGCATTTTTCGTCTAACACATAAACACACACGTAAATACATACACTTGTTAATTGTAATTCATTTCACTACGACGAGGCACATAAGCACGCGTGGATGAATGACAGTACGTGAGGATGTATGTATAGACGCGTGTGTGTGTCCGAGTGCGTGTGTGCATGGGGAAAATATCGACACCAGATATATAAACCGGTTTGTTGCAACTGGGCTTTGGTATCGCGAGAAAGTTGAAAGAGATAACGTGTATAATCACAAATATGGGAGAGAGAGGGGGAGAGAGAGAGAGAGAGAGAGAGAGAGAGAGAGAGAGAGAGAGAGAGAGAGAGAGAGAGCGCTATACACTCGTACGTATCACGATTACGTGTACTGTATAAGATAAACAGTTTACAATTATTTGTAACGAATACTTTTTATTTGTCAAATAAAAGTTAGTACAAAGAGAAACGCTGTTATTTTTATCAAGTCAACCGTCAAATCGGTTAAATTAAGCTCGACTTATTGTTTTTAACATTACCATTGTGATTTAATACCAGCATGACGAATATTAATAATTCCTATAAATAAAAAATTAGAAAAATTATAAAAGTTCTTTGTAAACAAAACTAACTCTTGTTAAATTGCAAAAAGATGTAAAATTCGTCTCAAACTTTTATAGATATATCTATAGATATATCTAGATCCAAATGTATAAAATATGTCTTCTAAATGTCTTCTAAAATATATCTTTTAAAAAGAGTGATAGCCATACATGTTTCAATTATTTAATAAAGAAATTAGCCGAGTAATTAGAATTACGATAGTGCATAAAATATTTTAGCCTTATACACATACCAATATTTTGATCTGAATGTATGATGAATTTGTCACATTTTAAAAGCGATTCTTTTCATTTACTCATCAGAAAACTAGTCCAATGTAATATATATCTTAAAAATATACAGTTTTATGATACTAGAAATTCCATGCAAAATTCGCGAGCGAATAATCAAAATAGAGTGGACGTTCAGGAGAACGTATATATATATATATATTACTGGGACTTTAATATCATTTCACTGAATTTACTTTATTACTAGAGATAATGATAGAAAATTAAATGACATACAGCGGAAATGAAAAGTAGCCACTGACCAAAGAAATTGCAGTACGAGTCCAGTAACATTTGCAGTCATTCAGTAGTTCCCTTGACAAATAGCAGTTTGTTTTCTATAAGCATTAACTTAGCTCCAAAATGACGCCACATTGGAATAAGAAATCCAGAATTGACAGTGTAAAGCGTGGTGAGAAACTAATATTATTTTAATTTATTAATATATACAGGATGTCTGGAATTTAAATGTCAAAACTTCGGGAATCTGTAGGGGATCGACAAATTAAGAAAAAAAATTCTGTAGAGATATGCTCATTTTTGCTTCGTTTTGAAGAAAATTGCAAAAAAAAACAAAACATTTACATTTTGGTACTTTCTCATTATTAATTCATTTATTCACTTGCTTAATTGTTCAAAATGTTAGCCTCTTGCATCAAGTAAGGACAGCTCGTGTTGCAGCTAAACTAATCTGGTGATATTTGATGCACTGCAGCCTCAATTCGATTTCTCAATTGTTCTTTTGAGTTGATTGACGATGAATAAACTTCGGCTTCAGGACCCCCTCATACAAAGAAATCCAGTGGTGTCAAATCAGGTGATCGGGATGGCCAAGGTACTACTCCTCCACGTTCAATCCATCGTTGTGGAAAATATGTCTAGCTAAGTCTGTCTAGTTTGAGTAGTTCTTCCATAATGAATTGGACCCATCGAGTTGAAATTACATTTCAATCCGTTGCTGCAGATGGATAATCTTCTAAATAATCAAAGAAGTTATTCTCCAAAAAAATCTATATATCTGACTGTATTTAATCTATATATTTTTAATCTATAAAAAAAATGATCCCATTAGATAAAACAAATAAAAAAAATTTTCGCCTGAAAACGGAATTATTATTATTGTTTTCGTGCATGATTTTAGTGACGAAAATATTTTAGAAGCAATACAAGAATGAAAGGTAGTGTAACTACGTTTTGTCTTTTTTTTGTGATTTTCTTCAAAACAGCAAAAACGAGCACATCTTTACAGGACTTTTTTTTTTTTTTTTAAGTTTATCGATCCTCTACATACTCCCGAAGTTTTGATATTTAAATTTTAGACACTCTGTATGCTCTTGCATATTAATATTTATCAATATCGATTTAGTTAATTATTAGTTCGCCAAACAAATCAATATTCTACATCTCGTAATAGGATATCGCAAATGTCTGGCACACGTTCGGGTAAAAAAACACTTAGGTTGGTTTAATATCTATTGTAAGAATACGAGTCTGCATGGTTTTCGTTACATAAGTATGGATGGATCGTCGATAATCGAGAGTGTTCTTTGGTTCATGGTGAGGATTCTATAATCATCTCAAGAGTAAGCTCAGTAATATTGTCCAGGGAAAGTAATTTACTCTTTTATTCGACAGGTTTGTATATTGTCCATCGTGTTCTGCGTTATATTGATGTTACGCTTGTGGGCCAATTATTCGAACAATCCCATAGTTACAACTATTTACACGTCAAATCCGATATGGGACGTGTCTTTTCCAGCCGTCACCATATGTAATAATAATAAGATCTATCGTCCACATGCCGATCTTATGGCCAAGAATTTGTAAGATATAAATAAGAATTAATAAGATATAAATATTTTAATACATTCAAGTGCGAAGGGTTCATTATTTTCCTTGAATCCTTATATTAATAAATAAAAGATAATTAGAAAATTTCGAAGTCCTTGAAAAAAAAATTAAATTAAAAATTTTCTGTCTATCTGAAAAAAAAATTTATTCTAAACTCGATAGTTGTATTTCGGTTTTGCTAATCTTTCCTTCAATTTTCTTCATAAAAACTTTAAAAGAAGAAAATTTATTACTTCAAATAAAAACTATTTGATGTGATAAATTTTCTATTTTTATCTAATGACAATTTATTAATTAATTCAATTAATTTTGGATCAACGGAGTTAAATTTCCATATCCGATATTATGTCCCAATTTTATATGATTCAACAGATACATGGATGGGTTCACTACAAACGACAGCGATAAATTTTTTTCATCCCTAGTGAAATTGGTACGACCCGACAAAATCTCGATAGACAATACGATTGCGAGGCAATTTCTCGATAGACTCGACATAACGGTCGAAACGCTCATGGAGCAGGTAAAAAAAATTGTTTTAATGATTAATTTGTATCTCCAAGGAAATATAGATCAATCATAAGATCCATTCAAAAAAAGATTCGAGTTAATAATTAACGATATCTCTCGCAGTTGATGCAACCTTGCAGCGCGTTACTGTTAAGATGCGTTTGGATCGGCAAGATTTACGATTGCAGCAAGATCTTCAAGACTATCAAATCCAAGGAGGGTTTCTGTTGCGCTTTCAATTATCACTACAATCTTAACGGACACATGTAATTGTCGCGAGAAAATTCTCGGAAACACATGTCGCTATATTATTCTTTATATTGTGTACATATAAAACAACATTGCTACAACATTTGCAATGTCGCTGGAACATTTGCTGTATGACAGGCCTATCCAATTTCAGTTCCGGAATCAAAACACAAAGCCATTGACGTAAAAAAAAACCAATGTGAGTTTAGGAACTATAAAGTATTGATAAGCATCACTTATAATTAAATGCGTATCAACACTTTACAGTCCCCGAAATCTTATCTATAAATTTTTTTGCATTGAGCTTTGCGTTTTGGTTCCAGAGCTCAAATTAGATAGGCCTGGATGTCAAGTTGGTGCAAAAGTTTGTCATATTTGTCGGATAAAGTTGCAGATGAAATTTCAAAATAATCGTCTCTGCTTCATCTAGAAGCTAGGAAGCTATAATTTTTAAAAACATTTGGTTGTTTGACGATTTAAAGTATACAAAGCAAATGAAAGTTAAGCTCAGTTAAGTGCAATATTAGAAATAATAATAATGTATATTTAGATAAGTATAATAAAATAAAGGGTGGACCCCCTTTATCTACATCTCATTTGCCTTTAGATCAATTATTATACATATTGTATTGCTTATAGATCGATTGCCAACATACGCTGTGTACAAAAATAATAATTTCAGAAATGAAGTCACATTTGCATATGTATTATTGCCTACAGATTTTTTCGATTGCTTACAAGCACTATTCTTCACTTTAAAAACACAAATTTCTCTGAATTAAAATACAAATTCTTCATTTTAAAAACAAAAATTACTTTCTTATATAATTTAATTTTAATTTTATTTGTGCGCAAAAGTGTTTGCAAGCAGTCGAGTTGTAGGCATTAATACATGTAGTTATTGGCAATAATACAATTGGCATTAATACACGTAGACAATCGATCTGTAGACAAATGAAATGTAGGTAAATGATACAGTAGGCAATTTATAGGAAAAAGTAATCCTCTCTAAAATTAACTGTATTAATTTTATTATTTATTTATATTATTTAAATATTATTTTTATTTCTATATTGCGCCTAATTAACCATTTTTGCCCTGTATAATTTGAATAATTTTTGTATTTAAATTAATTGCAATAATTTGGTTTTTTGATTTTATTTGATACAAAAATAGAAGCACAAAAACTTAGTAGGAAAATGGACAAACTTTCAACAATAGTTCGATATATGTAGACTCATCCGATATTTAGATATGTATGTATTTTCGCTTTCGTCATTATTCCGTAGATCCAATGACTTTAATACCAACGATTTCAACAACACTTCTGATGATTTGCCGGGTGTGCACACAATTTTGGTAATGCTCAATATCTTCGCTCAATATCTTAATTTCGACTAGAGATTCTATATCAGAATCTAGGAGCAACCAGGAGCAGGGCTGGCATGTATATTTAAAATAGTTTTATTTAAAACACAGTATTTGCAATACAAGTGCATTTTGTATTTTGCATTTCAGCAGAGCATATGAAAATACGTATTTTGTATTTAAAATGGAAAGATTGAAAATTTTTTGTATTTTGTAATTCAAATAATAAGATTGTCATAATCTTAGTATTGGAAATACAAAATACAAAATACAATTGTTTTACAAATTACTGTTTTACAAATAAAAATATTTCAAATAGCTTTTATTTTAATTATTATTATTTCAATAAGCCTTT